GCTGAGTCCAGGGGCAGAATCACTTCCCTGGACCTGTTGGCCACCCTGTTCCTGAGCCAGGCCAGGATCCATTGGCATCCTTGTGGTGCCACCACACCCGACAGACTTCGTGTTTCTGTCCCAAATCCATGAAAAGCAGCCCAGCCAGACCTGGACCCCTGGGAAAGGACAGCAGGGAGCTTTAAGCCAGGGCTCAACAGCCTCAAGGTGGAGGTCCAGGTTGGACATCAGGAGGAATTTCTTCATGGAAAGGGTTGTTAAACATCGGGAGGGGCTACCCACAGAGGTTTGGAGTCCCCACCCCTGGAGGTGTTCAAGAAAGGACTGGATGTGGCACTCAGGGCTCTGGTGAGGGTCAGGCACAGGCTGGACTTGATGGCCTGGGAGGGCTTTTCCAGCCTCAGTGATTCCATGACCCTGTGATTCTGTGTTCTGCTTTTGCCTGGACACCCATGAATTTAAGTAACTCTTAGCACAGAGAAGCCAAGCCCAACATCAGACCGGGGCAAACCTGCAGTGCTACAGACCAAGGCCTTCAAATGCACTCTGTGTGTCCACCAGACACCCCCCCTGCAGCTGCTGTCTCGGAGGAGACACAAGAGATGGGCCACAGAAGCTGTTTGGGAGCTGAAGCTATTGAAGTAATTTGTAGGAGCCCCAGAGGTCTCTCCTACCTGTCAGACAATGCTCTCAAAGCAGCAGCTCTAACTGCCTCTTGCTTCTTACTCTAAAATCAAATGACAACTGGTACACCCTGGAAGCAAGTCTGTGCTGCCTCCTGGTAGTGGTGCAGCTTTCTCCTGTGGGAGGAGAGCAGCCAGGCCCTCTGGGAGGATCCAAAAGGAGACTCTTGCACTCTGGAGTAAAACCTCCAGGCACAGAGCTTTAAATCCAACTAACTCACAGCACCTAAAAAAAACCAACAAGTACCAACAGATTCTTATTTCACTTTCATCACAAGAATATCTGAGCGCTGCTCCAGCTCTGTATAACTCTCACACACCACAAGGCTTTAATTCTGACTTTGCAAAGATAAAGCTGAAAAATCCACCTCCAGGTCCATCTTGCTCTCGCTGACTCTGACAGGAACTTTTGTTCCCACCTTATCAGCATTTACAAAAAAGTTTCTGTATTTTTACAAAGAATCCTGCAACTGGAGCTGACTGGATAAGCCCAGGAGCAGGAACACCCCGTTCCTGCCACAGGGGCAGAGGCTGCAGCTCCCTCAGACCTCCCTGCTGTGGGAAACCGAGCTCCAAGAAACTGTGTGTCACCCAGCACCACTGGGAGGGAACACTGCTCACAAGGCATCCTCCAGGCCTTCAGCTGGACTTGTCAAGACAGAAAAACCCAGAATACCACTCCAAGTTTGGAGCTGAATCCCTGTTTAGGCTGCATGACCCTCTGACCTAGAAATGGGACTGAGAACTTCAGAGAACCCCAGAACGGTTTGGGTTGGAAGGGACCTTAAAATCATCCAGTGCCACCCCCTGCCATGGGCAGGGACACCTTCCACTGGACCAGGTTGCTCCAACCTGGCCTTGGACACTGCCAGGGGTGGGGAAGCCACAGCTTCTCTGGGAATTCCATCCCAGCCCCTCCCCACCTTCCCAGGAAGAAATTCCTTCCCAGTATCCCATCTTACCCTACTCTCTTTCAGTTCAAAGCCATTAAAAGCAGTTTAAAGAATTTCCTCCTACAAATTCAACAGTATCTCACTGTAATTCAGAATTTCTGCCCAACATTTCACCTACTCCCAGTTTGAACCCCTTCCTCCTTGTCCCAACCCTGCAGTTCCTGATGAAACTCTGAACTTCCTTCATATCCCACTTCTTTGGAGGCAAAAGCAACCACCCCAGCCCCGGCTGTGCCAGCCCCAATTAGACACATCAACCCAAACTAACCCCCTGCAAGCTCTGGAGCTCTGCAAGTGGCCACACACCCACCTGAGGGAAGTGCTGAGCTCCTGGAACCAGGGAATGCTCCACAAAACAGGGCAGTGTTTTATCTCAGTAACCAAAACTCCTCCTGACACAGGTGAGGGCTCAAAGAGGCTCTGCTTGCTCACGGAATTCGAGCAGAAATGGGAAGCAGAGTGAAAACACGAGGAAAGGAAGGGAAAAGAAGCACCCCAGAGGCAGCTGGGAGGGAATTCAGTGAGGCAGGAGAGCAGAGGCATCCAAGCAATGAACTTCGTGGGGAATAATGAGAATAATGCAGAAGCAGGAGAGGGTTTGAGCCTGCAGGGAGCTCAGAGGAGGAGGGTTGTTCCAGCTGCACTGGCAGGATGGTCCCAAAAGCTCCTGGAGGACAAACTCAGTCACTGCTCCCCTCGCAGAACCAGCTGGAAGAACCACGGGGGGAAGTTTGCACCTGGAATTCCACCTGTGCACCGTTTACACTCGGTTTGGTCAAAAGCTCAGGCGACACTTTTGAAGTAAATAAGGAATTTTTATTATTTATTTGAAAGAAAAGAGGGGTCAGAAATGTTTCACTCCAGATTTTGCACACGTTATTTTTTTCCTGTGGACGAGTCTCCCTGTATTTAGATGCAGGTGAGAAATAAAAGGCTGGGAGGAGATTTGCCTTAAAACACAGAGGTTTTCATGAAAACACTTATTTAGAAGATGCACCTGAGAGTGAAAGGCTCCTTCCTGTACCATGGGAAGGGATTTCCAGCGGCTGAAATTTAAAGTCCAAAGGAAGGTGGAAGTTAAAGGCTGGAACAGCCCAATCCAGGGGCGGGTCCAGCACCAGCTTTGCAAGGACTTGGCCTTTTGTGACCTGAATTACACACCTGAACTGCAGCAACTTCAACAGCTGTAGGACTGTCCTTCTCTGCTGTTATACCCACCAGGAAAAGGTGCTTTCTGGCCTTAAAACTCTTTGATTTCTTAGACAACAGCCAGTCAAGCAAAACTGCACCACCACAAAAGCCTCTCCACACGAACTCCCCAGTCGGAGCGGGAAAGTGTCTGAGGAAACAGCTGAGAACAGAAAATGCCTCTTCCCATCCCCTCAGCGCTCTGGCAGCAGCTCAAGAAGTTCAGTCGTGTTTTCTCTCCCTCGTGGCAAAGCACCCCTCGCTCTCCCCCTAATGTCAGGACTGAGCCTGGCTGGGTGAGCCGAGCTCAAACCCAGGGCAGGGCCCAGAGTGAGCCCAGGAAAGGGAAATTCCTTTGGCTTTCTCTTTTCCAAGGGCATTATTCAGGCAGCCCGAGCTTTTCCAGGAGTACTTCAAGGGTTTAGTGCTGGTTTTAAAGTGCTGGTTGAACTACAGGGCCTGGCTGAGGAATCCTCGGGGTTTATTTTGGGGTTTAAGACCCAAACACAGAAGAGTTTTCATCAGTACAAAGCAAAGATCCTACAAACACCTGCAGGGCATCAGGACTTCATTTTAGAGAGACTTTTCACATGTGGGCACAACACAAATGTATAAATAATGTTCTGATAGTGAACTTTTTCCTGAAACAATTCAAATTCCAACCTTTTGATACTGAACTTTTTCCTAAAACAGTTCAAATTTTAATCTTTTCATAGTGAACTTTTCCTGAAACAGTTCAAATTCTAATCTTTTCATAGTGAACTTTTCCTGAAACAATTCAAATTCTAATCTTTTCATAGTGAACTTTTTCCTAAAACAATTCAAATTCTAATCTTTTCATAGTGAACTTTCTCCTAAAACAATTCAAATTCTAATCTTTTCATCACAGCTAAGCACAGAATTTAAGGGGAATTAAAACTTCCTGGTGCTGATTGCAGAGACACCACAGAGCTCATCTACCCACCTCCAACAGATAATCAATATTACTGAGCTGCTCTAAATTAAAACACACAAATAAATCCCTTTTCTTCAGTCTTTACTTCAACACTCCTGTACTGGAATGGAAAGATTCCACAACTCCTTCAAAATGTGATTAATAGTAATAATAATAATAATAATAATAATAATAATAATAATAATAATAATAATAATCCCAGTGCAGAGAAACTGCTCCCTTATGCAATATTATCTTGTATTTATCCTTATTTAGGTTTTGAAGCACAGAATGGATTTTTTTTCCCTGCAAGCCTACTAAATAAATGTGTTTATCTTAGTTGGCTGCAAAGAGAGAACCTGCTCAGGCCTCCAGCCCTACTCAAAATTCAGGACCAAGTCCCAGACATTGAAACTTTCTGAAAGTAAGATTTATATTTTTATCTTATTCTTATGAAAAAAAAATACCCCAAAAATGCCATTTTCACATGTAAACATTAAAACCATGTCAAAGAGGAATTAAAATGGGGAGTACCAGGATCAGAATGGGGAAAATTCCCACCAGGAATGAACGAGTCTCCTCGTGATCCTCCAGGAAATCCCCCTTTGAACCAAGAACATGGAGGCAGATTAACAATCAGGGGGTTTTTGTCCCTTACTCTTTAATCTGCAAATTCAACAGAATTAGGGAACAGAAGAGAAGTACAAGGAGTACAACAGAGTCGAGCAGTTATCCAAAATCTCCCCAATTCCACTCGACATTTCATTTGCCACCGGAATATTTTTGTTTCCAGAGTTTTCCTGGACAAGGTGCTGGAGGACTTGGCACAGGAACCAAGGCCAAGCAGGGCAATATTTTGATGAAGAGCTTCAGGAAACGAAGCTGATGATCCCAGGTCACTAAAAATAATAAGAATAATAAAAAAAACCCCAAAAGACAAACCCAAAAAAAAAAATATGATCCCAGTCTCTGAACAGCAGCTTCGGTGTCCACAGAACCCAGAACTTAAAACAGGAGACAAAACAATCCTGTAAAAAAAAAAAACAAAGGAAAAGAGAAGGACAAAGCAGGAAAAGACGCAGCAGGAAGGGATTTCAGACCAGCAGTTTTGTGAGAGCTTTAATGGCACAAAATGTTTTATAAGCTACAACTCATACATGTAAACTGTAGGTAATGTTACAAAGTGCTAACTAATGGGTGAAGAATGCAGAATCACTTTGGCTCAGGTAACTCCGAGATCTCAACGAATGTCAATTAAAAAAAACAAAAAAAAAACAAAAAAAAAGGTTGAATTGCCAACAATCTTCAGCTTTTCACTTCTGAAAACAGTAAGTAAAGATGCTTTTTTGCTGCAGTTAAGGTCAGCCTGCTGCACTTCTCATGTGCCAGTTTATGCCTTTTTTTTTTTTTCTTGATCCTATTTACAAATAGTCGAGGCCAGTTTTTCACTGAATGTAAGAAAAATGAAGCCTGCTTTGTGTGTGGTTTTTTGTGTCTTTTTTTTTTGTGTGTTTTTTTCTTTTTTATTTCTTTTTTCCAAAACTGTAAACAGGTATAAAGCTTTTTTTTTTTTTTTCTTTTTAAACAACGTTTATCTTAACAAAACTTCCAACTTGTCAAAAGAGTTGAAACCCCTTTTTCAAATTGTACAACGATCTGGTTCCTGCTCATTGTAAAACTAAAAGTTGTAGACTCTCCTCCAGAGCTTATGTAGGGTATCAATAAATACTGCATTGTATCCCAGCGAGTGTTACAGTGACCTCAGCTCCAATTTGAAATAAAAAACAATTTTTATTTCATTTTACCTCAGATCTCACACGTGGCGTTGATACTCCAGCCACAAGCTTGCAATGTTATTTTAGCAGATATCCTGAAGAATTAATTACCTTGGAATTCAGAAATGGGGAATTCGTTGGGTTTTGGTTTTTTTTTTCCTCTTTAAAAAGTACTCCCTGCTTGGTAAAAATCTATTTTTCCACTACTCCCATTTCCATCCAGAACAAGGTGCTGGGTTAGAACTGAAAAGTGTTTCAGCCTTTCTCCCCTGCCCTGGTTTTTTAGGGCTGGAAAATGAAGTGCTTGGTGCTCTCTAAAACACCCTCCAGCACTTCCCCCTTCCCTCCCCCACCTCTGGGTGAAACCCAGTCTCCAGCCTGGAACAAATACACACTTGGAGGCAACTCAAGTGCCACTAAAAGGGGGGAAAAAAGCAGATTATTCCAGAGAATTTGCTGTTAGGCTGCCCTGTCACCCCGAAAGCATGGTCTGACAGCGCTCAGAAACAGAGAATACAAATAAATACACTTTAGCAGTGGGGTCACACTGCACTTTTTTTACTTCCTGGGAGCTAACTAAGTTTTTTTCAACCACATCTCAGCTGGGCTTTAGCTTCTATGCATCAACTGGTTCAAGCAATCACTGCTCTATCAAATAATCAACTTATTATAAAGTCTGATGCAAGCAAAACAATTATAGGTAGCTGTTCTCTCCAAACTGGCTGACTGGATTTCTTTATCTTCTGCGAGTCAGCCAACTAAAGTTTTTATTTAATTAAGATTTTTTGCTAGTCTTAAAATTAGCATTGGTTCCCTAAATACTTAGTATTAAAGTCTATATCATATTTTTTTTTTATATATTCATATATATATAAAAAAAGAGTATTCTGTCCTTCAGAGTCATGCTACATGTTCTGAACTCCAATAAAATCTATTTAAGGACACGAGTGTCCCAATGCTTTGTAACAATTTGGTACTAAAGCTTCACATTTCTGAAAAAGAAGTGTCACTGAAGGAGGACAAGGCTTAACAATGTTCCCTAAGATAAAAGTTCAACGACAGCAGTGAGAGTCTGTCTAAGATGGAGACACCACGAGTGACTTCCAGGTTTCCAAGAGTATCCCCAAAAAGGAGATTGTACAGTAAACAATGAGAGAGAGGAGGATGGAAAAATTCATTTGCAGAAGACATTCCACGACTTCTGAACCTTTTTTATGCACCTGCAAGACTGTCCCCCCCTTTAATGAGAAATTAATAATGAGAAATCAAACATTTGCTGGCTGAAACTGCCATTTCAGTTATAAATGGTTCCACAACAAACAAGAGTCATTTCCTTTTACACTTAAGAGCTTAACTACACCTACAGCTGTTGGGTTTTTCCTTAATTTAAAACTACTTTTTTTCACATTTCAAATTTCCCCTTAAGAAAACAAGGTAAAGGAAAAGAAAAAACTCTTCTTTACATGCAAACGATGCCATTTTTTTTTTCTAATATATTCTAGGTATCAGACAGGTTTTTTTTTTTCCTACAAGGAATAAAGGAGCCGACTTCATAGAAAAGACAAGATTACAACGATTACCTAATATTAAAATATGCTGATGGATTTTAAGTTTATCCTACTGGAAAACTGATGCAGTCTTGGCCTCCTGCAAATCAAACGGTGCCAATAGGAGGGGCCAAGGAAACTCTCCCCCCAAAAAAAGCTGCTTTAAACTGGGGTTTTATTGCCGGTGATTTCTCCGGTGATTCCACCTCGGAAGAACTCTTCAGTCCCTCCCTTCCTTCCAGAGGCTTTCCCAGCGACGCTTCCAGCAGGAGCTCTGCTTCCAGCAGGCCCAGAGCTCGGGGTGGGGGGCACGAAAGGACCGGAGGGGACTTGCTGGTGGCAGTTTTGGCGTGGAGAGAAGAGAAGCCCTTGCGACGACAGAGCCACGGGGGGAACTCCTGCGGGAGGAACTGGCTCCTGCGGGGGGAACTCTGCCGGGGGGCGGCCGAACCCCCGGAATTCCGGCGGAATTCCCTGGGATGGGAGGGGAGGGCGGAGGCAGGGGCATGCTGAGGATGGGCTCCAAACGAAAGGAGACAGAAGGAGCGTCCCGGGGCGGGGGCTCAGTAGGTGCTGGCCGAGGGCGTGGTCAGGCGCTTCCCGATGTAGATCCTGCAAGGAAAGGACAGGGGGGAATGAGAACCGGGAACGGGGGGTGGGAATGGGGTTTAACTGATCCGGATTTCTGGGAATTACTGAGGTTTATGGTTTTAAGGCTGAAGCGAAAGAAAATGTAAATTAAATTCATTTATGGCGAATAAATATGTATTTCTAGAGTTAGGCGTATATTGGGACATAGTTATATATAATATAGTTATATATACTATAAACATATATATAATATATATATTATATATATTCATATGCATATACATATATACATATATACATATATAACACATATATATTACATATATAACACATATATATTACATATATATAACATATATAATATATAACATATATATAATAAATATATACATATATAATATATATGTATATTATATATAATATACATACTATAGATAAAATAGAAATATATAATTATATATTTAATATAATAAAACACACATTTTCATAAATTTATATTTTATATGTTTTATATATTTTATATATTTATATACTATATATAATTTACATATAAATACATATATTGTATATATGTATACACAATATAATATACATATATATTTATATAGATTTATATATTTATATTTATATATGTATATTATCATAGATTATGAACAATAATATATTTATTTTATTTATATATTTATACGTTATGTATATTATCCTAGAGTACCAACAGTATCATAATATATTTTATAAATTTATTTATATATTTATACATTATGTATATTATCCTAGAGTACCAATAGTATCATAATACATTTTATAAATTTATTTTTATATTTATACATTATGTATATTATCCTAGAGTATCAATAACATTATAATATATTGTATAAACTTATTTTATTTATATATTTATACACTGTATGTGATAATATATTATAATGTATTATCAATAATGTTTCATATATTGATTTTATTTATATATTTATATATTATATTATCATAGATTATCAATAACATAATATATTCATTAAAATTCTTTTATTTATTTATATATTTATATATTGTATGTTACAATAGTTATTATATATTATCAATAATATCATAACATTTATATATATTTATTCTATTCACTTCAAGTGCCACAAGTGACACTTGCAAGGATGATTTAAAAGTTCACCTGTGCATTTTCAATACAAAAATCTTTATATTTGGGGAGAAATGAAACACATCAATGGCTTTTTTTTTTAATTATTATTTTTAATTTTAGTTTTTCAGTTGAGCTTTGTTTTCAGTTTTAGTTTTAATTGCTGCCAAGTTTTCCTGCTTTTCAGCAGGACCTGAATTAGGCAGGGAAAAGCAAAGGCACGTGCAAAACTCGAAGGGAAAATTAGTTCAGTACTTACCCTAATCCCAGAGCCAAAACATGAGATATGAACAGAGATGGAATGAAAACCTTCAGGAATTCTGCAGAGAAAATGCCACCTTTTTTCATTGCTCCACTTTTTCTCATACTTAGGGACACTGAACGTTTGGGATGTCTGAAATGGAATTCCCTGGAAGAAGAAAGGGGGAGAAATTCAACAAAATTCTCTTTGTTTCCCTTTTTTTTCCCCTCTCTTTTTATTTTTTTTTTTTTTGCACAGATCTTTGTAGGAACATTGATTTATTCATTTATTTTAAATACAAAGAGCTAGAGATCAAAGCACAAGATCCCTTACACAGAGTAAGGAATCAAAGAGAATTCCAGGAGGGATTGTGGAGAGACCACTTAGGAGCAGGAAGTCCAAGAGAGGGAATTTCAGGATGTGATTTGTTAGCAAGAGCCTCATTTTTTTGCTCCAAACAGAGATACAGAAGTCTCTATTTTTATAAAAAGGCTTTGCACTCAAGGATCTCAAGGTTTCCCCTTCCGTGGATGAGCATTACAGATTTTCCACAGAAATTAAAAAAGGGAATTTAGGAGACTTGCTCAACACTCTTCTATTCAATAAACCAAGACCAAATCCCATGAATCCCAGCTCCAAGTACCCAGCTCTCCCAAGAATTGCAATTTGGTCAAGAAACCTTGTGGATTTATGTTACTTTTAAATAATTCTGTTGCTATTCAGATTTTCATACTTCATTGCTTTGACTTTTTGCGGCCTCCCCAGAGAGGAATGGAACTTTTCCTGAGATGAACCAGTCTGGAAAGCCAGAGTAATTCCTCCCCTTCCTATATTCATTAGAAAATATGAATATTCATTAAGAAAAGCAGAGTTTAACTCACTTGGGAGGAATGTTTTCAGGCCTACTTGACCAGTCTGACACCCAGTCTGCACTTTTCTTCAAAACTTCCAATTCCTTCTCTCCTTCTGCTGCTTCTTCTTCGGACTGAAAACACACAGGGGACAAGCCTTTTAACACTCAATTAGCTCCTCCTCGGGGTGTTGAACTGAGAGTGACAATAACAGTGGTAAAATGATAAGAACCCAACTGGTGGCACCTGATAAACCACCAAGTGTTCCTGGACTGCTGATTGTTGGGAAGAGATTTTACTTTGCTAACACGAGCCAGTAAACCACAAATTTTATTGTTATAGCCAGGATTTCCACATCATTGCAAGCTGTTTGTTTAACTAACAACAACAACAAAAAAAAAGGGATTATTTTACTCCTAAATAAAGCAGAACTATGCAAAGAAAAATCATTTACAAATAGAAAAAACATTGAGTTGATGGCATTCCATTTAAAGCTCACAGAACGTGCCTGAAGCACAGAAAGCCGAATAAAAAGGTTTCAAAACCAGTATTTTGACTTCTTAAATGGTGTTATTGGTAATTTGAAATTTATATTACTTGCAACTAGCAGCTTGCACTGACTGCAGCAGGAAAAGGCAAGCACTCACTGTAATTACATGATCCAAACTTTTAACTTTAAATCACTAGATGCAAACGTTACCACGGAGGAAAAAACAATATATTAGAAAGACTAGACTGACTTGGGCACAAACTCCTCCTTAGCATTAAAACAATTTGCCGAGTGACTCTTATTAAAATAAGATAAACCACTTACCACATTAAGTGGGAAGCACAGCAAAAGCAGAAGTCCCCAACTAGGGCAGTGCCAGGTGAGATGCAGAGCTCACCAACACTGGCTCTCAGGGCAGAACTGCCCCAGTCCCAGCTCTTTGGCAGAATTAAATGCAAGGTTTCACTCTTGCAGGAATGCTTTTTATTTATAACTGCTGAAGACAGCAAATTCTATGAAGTGATGATCAAACTAAGAGTTCAGTCTCCTCAGTTTGTGGTGTGGAGATTACTCACTGTCATGTGAGGGAGTGCACAGCAATCACTGAACACCCTCCAATCCTGGGCACAAAAATCAACATTTCAGCCCAGGTCTGACAGCCAGTGTTACACAGCAGCAGGACTGCTGTGGAAAAGCATTTCTCAGCTGCAGAGGTGGAGCCTTGTTCTTCCCCTCACTCCAAAGCTATTCATCTCTTAAGTCATATTTCAAATACTACAAAATATAAGCCTTTTCACATCACAAAGACCTTGCTCTACCCCTCAAGACAACATCAAACATCCACAGCTTACAAATACATATTTAAAAGTGAAGAAGTTTTAAAAGTTAATGAAGAGAATACCTGAGAACTACTGTCTTTACTTGTGTGCATTTCCACATCAAAAGTTATCTGTCCATCATCTTGAGGTGAAGGGCTAAAGAAAAAATTTGATTTGGTTATGTCATTTTGTCAACTAAAGAACCATCAGTGTAGATAAATGTCAGCTGAGTTATTCCCACATGCCCCTCTGCTCACTGCTGAGCTACAGACCACACCACCCTTCACACCCCAAATACCAGTATCAGAAAGTCTTCCAACACCCCTCACCTTTGCAGTTTTTTTTCTATTTACAACCCTACCTTTCTCAATAGACCAAAGAAAAGCAAGCACTGCCCAAAATTCCACCATCCACAGAAAAGCTGTAAAAAACCCCTTTGTCCTTTTAGGCTTTTAGGGAACACACTGCCAGCATTGTGAACTACACCTCTTTTTGGGGAGGTGGGAATACCACAGTTACCACAAACTCCTCCAAATGCTGGAGCACAGCAAACATCACCCCGGGAAAAAGCTTGACATCCCCGGGATCAAACAGTGAACAGCAGAGCAGCAAACACTCCTTTACCTGTCACAGTGGGAACTACCTCTTGAGCTGCTCTGTCCTGACTCGTGCTGGGCATCCAGGAGGATCTTCTCCATGTCCCCATTGTGGATGGAGGAGGAGGAAGGGACGTGCTCCAGACCCCCGTTCTTGCCGTTGCCGTTGTCGGTGCTGTTGCCGTTCCCGTTCATCTGCAGCTCCACCCAGGAACCTGCGGGGCACCCAAAGGTCACCTCACAGCCCCACCTCATTAACCAACCCCAGGTTCACTTTATCACCCCCCTCCAGAGGGAAACCCGGCCATGCTGCCCTCAGATAACACACACTGCCCTCCCAGAGCTCATCAACACGGGCCACACACAAGAGGGACACGTCTCCCCTTCCCTCAGCAACAAAAACACCCCAAAAAGCTGCTTTGGTGCTACCAACCCCTGGAGCTGGTCAACAGAATGTCCCCTCTCTCGTCAATTATTAATACTCCCACCAGCCACACTTTTTGGAGCTTCAAGTATCTACATATCACTCATTTATGTTCTGCATTCCTTTCTGACACTGGATTTTCATCCCCATGGCCCTCACTACGAAACTCCCTCGTGTGCAGCTTTCCATTCTCCTTCCTCTGCTCCCAAAGGCCCTGATTTTTATGGACATCATTCCATTCTCAGGCCTCAGTCAGTTTGCTTTGCCCCGGCCCAAACATCTCCCACCTCTCCTGTCCCACCATCACATTAATTCCATTCCCCAGTTCCAACCATGGGAATTCCAAGGACAAGGTTATTTCCTCACCCAGCTGCAGGACATGCACAGTAACACGACATTATAACATTTCACTGCTAATAAGAACTGAGGAGCAGCAGAAATCCAGCACTCCCACATGTCATAACTGTTAATAAATTCAAAGCCACCACTTCAGCCTCTTCCACCTGCCCCTTCCTCTTTATTTTCCTGAGCCAGGGAAAGCTCTACAACCTAAAAGCTCAGATTTACTGGTGTTCCCCCCTTTTATTTTAGCAATACCTATGGAATATCCATGTGAGATCCAACAAGGAGCAAGAGTGTATCGTGGCTGACAAGAGCAGCTGCTAAAAAGTTCAAATATTCTGTAGTTGAGGCGAGGATTTTTATTTTCAAATGTCTTCACTTGTATTTTATGTGCAGATTAACTGAGTGCAAGACTATATACATTCATCAGTATATGAATGTATATACTGGAATGTTTCAACTGGAAACAGGTTTTGGAAATATTCTTTATTTATAAACACACTACTTAATTATCCTGAGGGGTAAAGATAGGACAGACTTCTACTGCTCTGTATATTCAAAATATTTAAATACATTCCCTATCCAACTGCAATTCCAACCTTCTCTTTAACAAGCACTTGACCTCAGAGCCATGAGACAGAGGGAAATATCTCCAATTTCTTATTTTGTTGTCAAAAGAACATTATTTCCCTCATCAGCCAAGTAATGATTTCATAAATGTATATTAAGTCATCACAACTCCTGTGTAATTCAATTTATGCCACCTAAAGGCAGGTGCTTTCAGGGTTGTTGGTTTTTTTTTTTTGTATTTGGTTGATTATTTAGTTTTTTAAAGTTTAGAAATCTTCATTACTGAGGTAAAAAATCATCCAAAAAAACCAAAAAGCCTGAAGATACAACATCTGAAACTACTTTTCAATCATTATTTGTACAAGTTATAATTTTAACACTGATTTTTGACTTATGCATGATGCCATTGCAGTGCTGACCACGCTCTGAGGAGTCCTGGTGGTTCACAGCCTGGATTCCTTGGGTTGTATCCACAAATAAGGAATTTTGGGAGTGCACAGTCACACTGGGCTTTTCAGATAATCAAGTGTTAACTGGGAAGAGGCAGCTTTGCCCAGTCAGCATCACCCAGAGACCTTGTTATTCCACATTTGTGATGAAGGCTGGTGTCTAAATTTCAAAATAAAAAGGCCAACCTAGAATCAGGAGGGTTGATCTGCACCTTGACAGCAAGAAAAACACCTTCACACCTGCAGAAAAGCAGGTTGGTCAGAAGTCAGGTCAAAAAGCTCTGTGTTCCCCACAACCATTTTGGGGGAGGGAGAATTAAAACACTCAGGGTCTGCAAAGCCATCCAGGATTAAAAATGAGCAGCCAGTGACAAATAATGTGAGAAAACAGAGGGCAAGGGAAGATGATCAGAGATGGTTGCTCTGATCTGCAGCTCTTCAGACCCTCCACAGATCCTGCACAAATAAAACCTGCAGGAATTTCTCCCCCCCTGCCTTTATCTAAAACACACCGTGGCAGGAAGAAAACCCAAATTACCATGAGTGAAGAGTGCCAGGGAGCAGGAGGAGCTGACATGAGGAGCAGCACGTTCCCAGCTGACCTCACCGGGAATGACTCAAAACACAGTCGAGGAAGCACAATCTGACACGGGGCTCAAACTGGGAGAGGGAGCCAGAGAGCCCCGCCGGCCTCAAAGGCTCCTTAGAGGGACACAAACCCCCGTTCCTTTAAAAGGACGGGCAGGAATGTATCTGGGAATAAACAGCCCAACTAACAGAGGGTGGGGTTTGCCCCAAGCCTTTTTCAGAATTAAGGAAGTTACTTTAAATCACCCACCTGAGAACTCTTAATTTATCGTATTTCTACTTGACAGTACAATAGGAAATGTGGCAGAATTAACAGTGGTAGAATTAAGAACTGTGGTGGCATCTCCTCCCTTCACAAATGACATAACACACACTCTTTGAAAAAAAAAAACCAAAACCCAAACAACTTTTTATATGAATGGTATTTTTGTCCAAATCTGTTTGAATTTTGTCCATGCTCCACAGCCAATTATTTCGCTATAAACTGATATACACTGACTTAATTCCATGTTTTTCTATAACTGGTGACCTGTTTAAACAACGGGAGCTAAACATGTTGGGGCAAAAGGGCCTCATTTTGTTTATCCACTCTGTGATTTCACTTGGCTGGGTGTGGTGGATATATCAGAAACTGCATTCCTGTACACATTTTATAGATATAAAAATATTCCAAAGCAGCAGCTCACAACAAGTCTGATGCATGGTCAACCCGAATAATCTTATAAATATCACTTTTACAATGAAGTAGAACATTAACAAAAAACAAAGAAACAGAAAAAAAAAAGAGGGAAAGAAAAAGAAAGCCAAGCAGATTCCCATAATGGTAATTATTAAGCAGATTTTCCATGACAGAGATAGATGGGCTCTTGCCTCTTCTTGTCAATATGTAACAGAGCTTTATAATAATTAAAATATAGGAAGCATCTAGAACTCCCAAGAACAAGCAGGTTTTTTTCCCCCACCTCTGTGAACCCAACGAAGCACAGGTTACCAGTTCTACTCCCAGCTCTCCTGCCCTCCAAGTACTAAGGGATCTTTGAATAAAAGGCCCTAAACGCGTACAAATGACACGGGGAGCACAAAATGAATAGGTGTCTGAGCTCATTAGCCTGAAAAGGGTCAGTGAAAAGCTGAGATAATGGCAGAAAATGCACCTCTGCCACCAGAGCATTGTGCAGTGGCTGAACATCTGAAAGCAGCTCTAAGCCTGCGTGGGGCTGACGGGGGGCATCGGTTTGGTTCCGGGGGCACAGACTGTCAAACATTTCCTCCCGCACCTTGTGCTCGCCCCCTCCAGTAAATCACGGAGCTGGGGGAGCCTCTAATGCTGATCCAGCAGCAAGACCTACGTGGGCAGCTCCAGCCCCGGCTTAGCGAGCTCCGGCTGCTCCCACCTCCCGGCAGATTAACGCGTCCCACGGACACCGCACCGACCGACAGGAAATATTAAGACACAGGAGCATCAAACGCGGCAATTCCCAAAGCGCTGGGCAACTCCGACGGAGTAATCGTTGTTTAACAGGCCTGAATAATCCGCCGGAATACCTGTTTGACTCAGGTAACGCTGTTTTAGCTGTGTTATCACGAGAGGCAGCGTTACCACAACACAATGGCAGCGTTACGAAATGGGCACAGTTTATTCCCCCTTCAGACAATTGCCACCGAGTTACGGGAAATCAACCGAACCCGTATCTTTCGTGGTCAGTTTAACTTCGTTGTAAACCACGGAGGTAACAGTTAATCATTAATGTTATTTATTCACCTCTTGGAGTGCAGCATTCTTAATAATCAGACGGAAGGACACATGGAAAGAGCTGTTTAAAAGGAAGGGAAAGCATCTGCCAAGTAAGTAGCAGAGCCTACATGATGTGCCTCACTGGAGTTATCCCGGGAACAAAAGGATGCAGCAGAGCAGCTGACAGAGACGCCGGATATAGAGGGGAATAGCTCACGTCAGTGCTATTGACTCAGCCACTGAATAAACTCATTCCCACAGCCGCGCTCCTCCCCCTACCCCGCTGTATCCCCATCTTCGCTGCTCGGGTAAACTCCGCGGAGCCACGGGGCGCGCTCAGGGGGGGGGGCTCGCTCCCCCTCAGCCCGCCGTGAGGGGCGGCCGGTCGAGACCCTCCGGGCCGCACCTCAAACCCGCTTTAACCATCCCAGTAGAGCCACGAGGCCCCTCCGCTTTCCCGGGCCGCGCATCCAGCGACTCCCGCCGGCCGAAGCTCCGGGAACGCTCCGGGAAGCCCCCGGTTCCCCCGCGCTGCCCTCAGAGACCCCTCCGCGCCCGCCGTTACCCCTCTGTCCCCCGCCCGCCGCCGCCGGGGCTTTTATACCCGCTCCGCCGCCGCCCATTGGCCCCCGGCGGCTCGCGCGGCGCGGCCTCCGCCAATGGCGGCGCGCGGGGGTCGCGGCCCCCGCGGCCCCTCAGGGTCCCCCCCCTCCCCGCCAGCGCCATTTCCCGCCCGCGGCCCCCGCGGGGCCGCCCCGCACTCACTGTTGAGCCCCGGCTCGCCCTGCGTCGCCTCGGCCGGCGGGTTGTTGTTGTTGTTGTGGTGCTGCTGCTGCGGCTCCTGAGGGCTGGACATGGCGGCGGCGGGAGCGGCGGGCAGGGGCGACCGGAGGAGCCGCTGTGGGGCAACAACAACAAACCCGGGGCTCTTCTGTTCCGGGGCCCGGCCGCTCCCGCCCCGCCCACAGCCCCGGCGCGCCTGCGCAGGCGCGGCGCGCGCCGCTCTCCGCCCTCCCGCCCTCCATGGCGCGACCCGCGGCCGCGCACGTCCCGCGCGTGCGCAGGGCGGGCGGCGCGAGGGCAGTGGGGCGGCCTGAGGGGAGCGGGGGGACGGAAACACACAAATAAAGAGTTATTTGGGGTGGAAAGGCCGCCCAAGGCCATCGCATCCCGCCTGTGCCCCATCCCCAACTCGTCCCCCAGCCCAGAGCACTGAGCGCCACGTCCAGGCCTTCCTTGGACACCTCCAGGGGTGGGGACTCCAAACCTCCCTGGGCAGTTCCGATGTTTAACCAACCCTTTCCATGAAGGAATTACTCCAATATCCAACTTGACCCTCCCCTGGCACAGCTGGAGGCCGTTCCCTCTCCTCCTGTCCCTTGTTCCCTGGCAGCTCCCCCCTCCTGTCAGGGGGTTGCAGAGCCAGAAGGTCCCCCCTGAGCCTCCTTTTCTCCAGGCTGAGCCCCCCCAGCTCCCTCAGCCCCTCCTGCTGCTCCAGACCCTTCCCAGCTCCGTCCCCTTCCCTGCACACGCTCCAGCCCCTCCATGTCCCTCCTGAACTGAGGATCCCAGAACCAATCCCAGGATTTGAGAGGCCTCCCCAGTGCTGAGTTCAGGGCCCTTCTTGGCCACCCGGGCACTGTGAGGGACCAGAGCCTCAGGTAACTAAGCCAGCGATGAGGTCCGTGAAACACAGTTAAGACACTCTGAACTAATGTTTTTTAAGATTAATGTCCTCCCAAAACGATGCCTTTAGCACACAAACCACCCTGGAGCATGGTTGGTTTTTTAATCAGCAGCAGCAAAGATAGAGGTGGCATTGCTGTTACAAAATTGGACTTTTTCCTAACGGGGATGCAAAACGAGCCACAAAAAGCCAAATTGTCAGTGTGCACCAGTTTCCTTTCCATATGAAAATGAAGAGACAACCTCAGGTTATTTGCTGGGGAGTAACATTTGAATTTCCATGGAAGAGGCTTTAAAAATGCAGAGAAATAGATGCAAACACCTGCCTGACCCTGCTGAGGTTTCTTCGGGCGTTACACAAGTAGCTTCAGTACGGATTTACCTATTGCTTTTGTGAAATTATCATATCTAGAAAATGAGGTTCTTCTAAAATTACTGATTTCAAGAGATAGTTTTGAATAGAAAATCAGGCAGGTCCATTCCTCAGCAGAGCGATTTCCAGGGGCACTTGGTGTGGCACTGAGCAGATTCTTCTGCTTCTCATCTCCTTTTTCTGCATTCGCTGACACAGAACCAGCAAGAGTAACTTATTTAAAAACAAGTTATTTCATTTGCTTTCACAGCTTGAGAAATCGTGAGCTTCGTTCTGTTTGACATCACCTCAACTTTAAGGTTTATTTGGGGGCCCAGAGTCTTTTTGGTGGAACTTTGTAACTGAAGTCCCATCTCAAACACACACATTATATATATGTATATATACATGAGCATTTTGCTTCCAACAGCTGTAAAGGAGCCTTTTATACCACAAACTCCTCCCATCAGCAGCCACAAAAATATGAATTGTGGTTTTTAACATTACAGTACCCACAGAAGGAGTTCAGTAACAGCGACACTGTCAGACTGAAGTCACACAGATACAACTCCATCAGTGTTCTTTGTTACCTCCCCGTTGCAAATGCAAAGAAATCACTTTACTTCTGTGCCAGAACTATTTCAAGCTGGAGAAAAAGCCTGTATGCACAAGTGTCACAGTCATCCTGTACTAGAATACCCATTTCAAGTGGTTTTTATCTTCATCTCCACTAATGTTGGACATTTAAAACCCACCTTTTTTAACACCACCGTTTCTTCCCAGTTTGACTGCACGCCCTGAGTGACAACTAAATATCTTGTGGAAAATCTGGATGTCTCTGGGATATCACTGGGAGAGAATTAGCCACGTGTAGTACAGAGAAAGCAGTAATTAAAGCCATTTAATAAAACATGCTTACAGGTGGAAGGGCCGCAGATACACCCGAGATTGGAGTCAGAACAATGAGCTACTTATGATTTTAAATAGAAAACCTGCCCAGGTAACCCAATCCCACTTTGCAGGCCTAAAATCACAGGTTAACAGGAGTGTTTGTCACCTCCCTCATTCAGGAAGCGTTTGCCACAACACTTGTGGCATGAATATTTATCAGTCAAGTGGGACTATTAAAATTGGTGAGTCAGAAATAAATTGATCGAGATTATAGAGTGAGTCACTGCAGAGCCAGAAATAGCATTCACAAGGCCTGACTTTCAGCCCCTGTGCTCGAACCACTCCACGGGTTCCTTGAGGCATTTAAATGATGTAATTAATGTTTGTAAAGTAATTTGAATCCTTGGATGGAAAACGCTGTGACAATGGCAGGGTTGGAGGGACAGAAAACCACACGTTAATAGAGGAGAAACGATGGCCAAAAATTCCTGGGAAAGGCTTTTTGGACTGAAGTGCAAGAAAAAGGGTGTTCTTCCAGAAAGAGAAAAAAAAAAAAGCCTTTAAGTTGATTGAGATCAAACAAGTATTAAGGCAGTTTATTTACCTGAGCCAAGCTAATCCCACTGTTTTATCCCACGGTTCCGGGCTGTTCTAAACGTTTGAAGCAATTTAAGTAAAGAAGAGAAGCCGTGGCTGCCCCATCCCTGGGAGTGTCCAAGGCCAGGTTGGAGCAACCTGGGCTGGTGGAAGGTGTCCTTCCCCATGGCAGGGGTGGCACTGGATAATCCTTAAGGTCCCTTCCAAGCCAAACCATTATAAAGTCTTAATCACGCCATTATTACTTTTATTTTCTTAATTTAGCGCTCCTAAATGCCAACCTGTCGCAGCCCAGCAGCAGGAGGGCTCCTCGCCCTGCACACCTCGGCTGGATTCTTCCTGCTGGGATAAACCGCGCCCTGGAAATGCTTTCCTTGGATTCGATATTTTCCTGGACTTGATATTTTATGTCAGTGTCGATTCCGGAGGTGACTTCAAGGCACAGCGGCCACACCTCACCGCGAGCACTCGCGTTTTTTTTTTTGAAGCCTCCACCTCTTTTTGGTAACGTTTTGCCTCCTAGTGGAGATTCCCCGGCACAGAAAAACCATCGGGAAAAAAAAAACCCAGCCGGTGCTGTTTTTTTCCTGCTTGCAAAGGTTGAGATGATTTAAATGTGAGGATAAAATTCAGTTTCGTGGAGAAACGGGATTCACGCTTTTTATTCTCTCAGCTGTATCCCAGCAGAATCAAACACTGTTTTTTATTCCAGCCACGGCTCGTTTTTACAAACCCAGACCTTTCCACAGCAGGTTAAATAAGATGTTTGCTAAGGGCAAACACAGACAAACAGCTCCAGACACAGAATCATCACACGGCAGCCTCTTTCCCACCTCGATCCAGTACACCAGCCCTTCCCTTCCCAATTCCACGGGAAAGGGCCAAAGGAGGCCCCTTTTATTCAATAAAAGCAGCGTTTGGTGCGAGGCGGGAGGTTTTACACCTCCACAGCCCGAGGGGAAGAGCTGAAGAGCAGCACACAGGAAATGACTTCCCAGCTCTGTTATACCCAAAACCGAGATGACAATGAAAAATCCTAGGAAAACGTTGGTATTCCATCCTCCTGGAGCCCTTCTCCAAGAGGGGGGAAACTACAGGTTTCTGCTCGACAGCATTACCTGGCCTTGTTCCCATTAGGCTGGTAATAAAAGAACAGGGGTTTCACTAATAAGTGCTGCAGTCCTGCCTCAGCAGAGCAGTAGGAAAGCAGGTGCTGCTGCATATCCAGTGTTTTCCAGGCTCTTCCCAGCAGGGAAATGACAAATAGAGCCCAGGGCAGTGACCCAGCACCTCCTGCCTGGGGCAAGAACAGGGGGCACAGGGAAGGGACCAGGCCTGTCAGAGACACCTGTCCTGGAGAAAAGGAGAGGGGCAGGAAAGGGGATAAAAAGCATCCTGACAAAGTGTATTCTCTGCAGACTTTTATTAATAAAATAGACGATTTACAGCAGGTATCAGTGGACAGTGTGCTTAGAGAAGCCTGGAGCCGGGTATTGTGACAGCACAGGCAGGAGCTGGGTTTGGGGAGGAGAAACCAAACCTCTGATGACACATTACCAACAACCCCAAAACCCTGTCCCCAGCTAAGCCTTAAACCATCCCAGCAGGCCCAGCTGAGGTCCCAGAGGAGGACTGGACTGGAGTATTGCTCTAGGTGAAGCCACCTGGTCACTCTGAACCACCTTCATGTCCCCAGGGCCTCTGGATCTGTGCTAAGAACCATCTCAGTGCATCCCTTGGGACATGGACAGCTCAGGAGCAGCTGCCTCAGTGCCACGACCCTCATCTTCCCAAACCAGCATCGTTAAAGCCACACCCTTCACAAAACAGGCGAATTTTGCCAGCTCTGATGCAAAAAACATCCCATCAGCTCTTCACCCTCCCGCTAAGGCAAGGAATAAACCTTGGCCCTGAGCCTGTAAACACCTGTACACATGATTAATGTTACTCAACAGATTGTTTCCTTAACCATTAGTAAGTCTGGCTGGAGTAAAATTAGTCACATGCAGCAGGGCCCACGAGTTTATTCACCCTCTGGAAAAACAGCTGCTGTCCCTGGGGCGGTTCAGTTGTTTGTACAAGGCTAACAGGTGAGAAAAAAGGTCAAACCCTTACAAAGGCTCATGGTCAGGCATGCATGGTACAAGACAAATACTGTATTGAAGAGAACCAGATTAATAAATAAGAGAATTTTTACATTTTCAAACCACTGCACAAGGACTTAAGAGAAATTAAAAGGAGTGATTGCAAGAGTAGTCTTGTTAACAACCTCTAACCCAGCCAGAATTTTACAGCAGAAACAGTATCTCAGCTGACCAAATCATAAAGGCATTTTAATAACTACCTCTAACTAAGCCACAGAAATAACTCAATATAGGCAGCTGAAAAGTGAAAATTCTCCCAGTCAAGGTAAGTTCACTACGACTTTAAACTTCACTGAATATTTCCAGGAGGGAGGAGTAAAACCTAAAAGCACAATTCGCAAAAATACCTGGCGGTAAAAACTCATGAGCCTGCTAAAGCATCAGTATGTAGTTCATCTTTGGATAAGCCTGATGTGCTGAGGAGTTTGGATCTCTCACACCACCACAAACACTGATTTCATGCAGCTTCTACATCCACACCTTGGGATCGTTGCACCAGCCAACATTTCTGGGAGTGCGGGAAGTTGGCAAAGCCAAGAAGCGACACTTGCATGGTTAAAACTACATTTCCACTCGGTTCTAGCAATAAAACACAGCCACTGGAGCAGCAGAAGGCAGGGCAGTCATTCCCTGTGAACCACGGGGTGCTGGTGCCACAGAACATCCCACACAGCTGCCACACACGAGCTCTGACAACTTCTCACAAAGCCACGGGGGACTCGGGGCTCCAAACAAGGCATTCAAGGTATTTTGTCCTAAAAAACAAGGCATCAAAGACAACCAGGACGAAACCAAACATTAAGACATCAGTCCCGTAACACAATGGATTTTAAAAGCTGAAGGTTCTATTCCCGTTCTGGTTTAAGCAACAGTTTAAAAAAAGAGCCTTCGAGGGCCACTGGAGCAGGAGGTGAGTGCTCAGCTCAAACAGCAGCTGGTGGTGCTGGGATGGAAGTGCTCTGGTCACTCAGGAGTGAATGCAGGTACCTGTGAAATCCCTCCCTCTCTCTTCGTTCCCAGGAAAAATAATTAATACTGGTTAAAATCATTACAAAAAACATCATTTTATTTTCATGCATCTAAGGTAAAACACAGAGTATTTGTATAAAGAGGTAGATTAAAAAAAAAAAAAAAAAGAAAACAGATTCTCCATTCTTTGTCACTTTTA